ACCCGTGTGGGAGACCCAAAAGTTGTTCCTGGATCCTGGCTTCGGACTGGCATAGCATTGGCCGTTGCGCTCACTTGGGGAGTGAATCATCGGACGGAAGATCTTCCTCTCTGTCTCTCCTCTTCTCTGTATATCTGACTTTCCAATAAATAAATAAATCTTTAAAAAAAATTGTCGGCCTAGGATAACATACCCTGCAAAGCTTTCTTTCTTCTTTGAAAATGAAATAAAATTCTTCCAGAGTAAAGAAAAGCTAAAAGAATTTGCCTCTTTCAAACCTGCCCTACAAATGATACTTCAAGATGTTCTCTTGACAGAGAAGAGGAATAGCACCTACCAAAACCAAACGCAAACCAAAGAACATCCCAGTAAAATGACAACAAATGAATAACCCATTCCTAAAATGACAGGACCAAAGTACCACCCATGTATATTTAACTCTGAATGTAAATGGCTTAAGCTCAATCAAACACCATAGATTAGTAGACTGGATTAAAAAACAAAACCCATCTGTTTATTGTCTGGAGGAGACATTCTTCAACAAAGATCAGCGGAAACTATATCACATGGGTTTTGTTGTTTTCTGTTGGCTTCATGTCTTCAAACACTTTCTTCTGATTAAATCATTCAATGACTCGTAGATCATGCAGTGGCATCATTTTCTTCAAAAAGGTTCTTGATTTTCATTTCTTCAGCTACACGTTAGTCATTTAATAGCATGTTGTTTAACTTCTTGGCGTTGTTAATTTCTTTTTCCTGGATGTTGATTTTGTTTTGTGGCTCTTCATTTAAGGGAATGTATAGTAGCTGTGTAATGGAGACTGACATATCTAGCAACATGTCATTTAATTTCATGGCATTGTATATTTCTATTTTTCTATTGTTGATTTTGTATCATGACTTTTCATTTAAGGGGATGTACAGTAGCTGTGAAATGGAGACTAACATCCAGATGTGAGGATGCAGTGTGGTATGCATTTCTGTTTCCAGACAAAGATGGACTTACAATGAAACAGTTTACTATATCTTGACAATAGGATTCTGGATTCTGTGTCATTGTCCATGCCCGCAGTGATGGACATATAACTGAGAATGAAGAACTATATGTTGGTAACGATATAGAGGAACTAGGTGGGGGGTGGGGTGGGGAAGGGAATTGGGGGAGGGATAAAGGAATATGGAACTGTATCATAAAATGATAGCAATAATAGTAAAATGTAAAAAAAAAATGGGGGTGGGATATTGTGGCATAACAGGTTAAGCTACCGCCTGCAATGCTGGCATCCTATATGGGCAGTGGTTTGAGTCCAGCTGCTCCACTTACAGTCCAGCTCTTGCTAACAAGTCTGGGAAGGCAGCAGAGGATGGCCCAATGCACCATGTGGGAGACAAAGATAAAGCTCCTGGTTTCAGCCTGATATAGTCAAAGCCACTGCACCATTTGGACAGTGAACCAGCAAATGGAAGATCCATTTTTCCCTCTCTCTTTGTATCTCTAACTTTGAAATAAATAGATAAAAAAAAAAATACAGGGCTAGCATTGTGACACAGCTTGAAAAGCTGCAGCATGACATGAGCATCCTTTATGAGCATCAGCTCATGCCCCAGCTACTCTGCTTCCAATCCAAGTGCTAACATGCCTGGGAAAGCAGCAGAGAGATGGCCCACTGGGCCCCTGCTACCTATACGGGAGACCCTGATGAGATGTTGTGATCATTCAGAAAGTGAACTAGTGGGTTGTAGATCCAACTCTGCACCTATACCAACCTTCAGCCACTATAATGTGATGTTTTATAAGTTTCCTATTTTACAATTACTGTGGCAGTTTTTCAAAGTGAGGTTCTAGATCCTCGGGGTGCTTAAGACACCTACAGGCCTGAGGAATTTTAAATCAGCTAACCGAAAAATCTGTCTTTGAAAAAGTTTCAGAATTGACCAGAAATAAACAACTGGTGAACAGCTCAGGAAATGAAGACTACAGTAACAAATTATTAAAGGACATACTGTTCCAAAGAAGAGGAAACACAGGAAATGAGTAGTGCTGAACAATCTTTTATTGTTCATTAAAAAATACATGTCTGGAAGGAATGTATTGCATTATGTATCAAATGCAAGATCTGATATAGTAAGTAAGCAAAGCACATAATTTACTTACATAAAATCATAAATATTTTACATAGAGATGGTGTTTACCTCTTCTAAACACTAAAATTAAATAGAATTAAGTAAAGTTCATTAAATGGCAAATGTAAATATGGCAATCATAAAGTATTCTAAGCAGAGCACTGCACTTTAAAACTGCTTTGTATGACATCTACTATGCCCACCTGAACTTGGGAATGTTGGGCCCAGAGACAATTTTGCTAACAAACAATGTCCTTAAAGACATTCTTCCCATGGAGCCACGCCCACAGACATCCATGACAGGCTCCTACCCTGAGGTCCAGCCAGCAAGTCTTGCGCCCACACTGATGCCCACCTTTTCTGGAGCTAAGCAGAGGTGACCTGGAAGAACACCAGGTAGGAGAAAGTTCCACTGCATCCACTCTACAGCCAAGAACACCAAGCATCTCTGAAGGGATTCTAACACCGTCACCAAACACTGACGTATGAATACTGAGCACAAACACCATGCCTCATGTAGTCTGCAGGGACTGTCTCCACTTCCATCCAGATTAACCTTCAATGAGACACTCCATGATGGACTGCTGCTCCCATGCTGCCAGTGAGGCAGGCCAGGAAAGAGGCAACAAAACTTCTCCCGTTCGGGTTACTAACTCAGATGAATTGAAAATAACTATAGCTTATGTTAGAGAAAAACAAAAAGCAATCTGTTGTTCACAGGGCAACACAGACAAGCTCTGCAAGAATTTACACAATTGCAAAATCAATGTGAGCTATATCCATGTTGCCTTCCAAACTGAGGTGACTGTGTGGAGGACAGCCCGCATAATCAACATCAGCCTCTCCCCCACATATTCTTAGGGCTTACAATGCTCACTACAGATAATATACACACAAAAAATGTACACTTCAACATATACATAGCAACAGAAGACTACAGCTTTGCTCTGAGTTTCCTTTGCATGAGACAGAGCAAGACTATCTGTGACAGTGCCTAAGCTATGACCAGACTCAAAGCTACCAAGACATCAAAGTTACCAAACTCCTTCGTTCATAGGTAATCAAGGATTACTAAACAATTTTCTTAACTAAGACAATAGGTCAACATCAAAAACACAGTCTTCTGAATTTTGATATTAAGTTATTAAAGAGAAAACCCTCACAGAACAAGCACGAGTAGCATTAACATTCTCAGATTTTTCTATACTTTATAAATCAAAAGTATTTTAGCAGAATATCCATTAAGATATTTGCAAGCCAATATGAACAATCAACTGAGTCTTTTTCTTATTCTATTCATCAAGGAACAACGTGTTCTGATGGGAATACATCTGCTTGATGGGTATCTTATTCTGCTTGACCCAGCACAGTATATTTCACTGTTTAGACTTTGTTCCCTACTTTTCCAGTCCAATGAAAAATCTCATATAAAATTAGAAAACTGCAAACGTCAGCACAAACACTGGTATTTTCGGTGCTAAAGTAAACTTTAGGAGAATTACTCTAATCAATTATCACATTGTCTAGCTTTGTTAGAAGCCTTATTCCCAGGAATCACTAGATTGAGATATTCTAACATTTCAAACATGAAGAAACAATGTTTTGCTGCTATTGAGAAAGGTCCAGTTCAGGTGTAACACTCTGATCTAAGGAATGCTGTACAACTAACTAACCCCAAACACTGGGCTATGACTCTGTTCCAAGCATAACTTTCCTACCTGTTAAATATATCACCTGCCACATCACTGTTGAGTCCTCTCATTGTGGTTCCTATTTATTTTAGATATACTGCTGTACCAATGGGATTCATGGAAGCATCACATTAAGGCACAGGCAATTTTCACTTCATATTGTTAGGTCCCCAAAAGACATATCAACTGGGAACAACTTCTGTTGGCAAAGGCATGATTCACCGGCATTTGCTCTCATAAAGGAATTCAAAAGTGTTGTTTAGAAACATAAAAAAGACCTTGGGTATTCCCATGGGAAGAATGCTGTAGCTACAACCAAAACCTGGAGATTTACTGGATCCAAGCTTACATGTCTTAAATAATAGCATTAAGGAATGGTAGCATAAGTTTTGTTTCTAATGAAATAGTATATTATCTAGGAACAAGTACTATTTAGTATCACAGGAGCCAATGAAAGGAGTCAACACCATCCTTCTAGCTTGTTTCCCTCCTGTTTTGGGTTACATGTCCAACATCTCCAGCACACAAGACTGAGCTCCCTGCAAACAGTTGAACAATCAGCTTCACCTCCACCAGCCCAGCAACGGGCACTCTGACTCAACACTACAGTCTACAGTCTTAGGATAGAGCTCATGAAAAGCTATAAACCTAAGAAAGATTCACTGATGTCACATAAAAATTCTTGATTTTGTAATACTTTTTCAAATAAATCAGAAATAATCATTTTTAAAAGAAATTGGATCGATACAATAATGTAAGGCCTCAAAAAGCACATCCTAGAATGGAAACCCTGTGTACAAATACAGCTTACTCATCAGATCTTACTTTGACTCACTGCAGCTCATCAGTGTAATGTCTTACTGCATTTAGAAGTGGAGCCCACCATGTTCTCCTAAGACAACACTAGAGAAGTATATGAAAATAGTTCACAGAGGTGATAGCCCTTAGCTTCTGGGGACGTCAAAACTTGAAAAAACAAAAATGAACCATGAGTTGACATCCAGATATTTGCTTGCTCAGCATAAGTTGCCTGTACCAGAACACAGCTCAACACTCAATTCTCTTTCCTTTGTGGTGTTCTTGGGAAGTTATTATTTCAACGCTAGTGGTTCTTGGCCTGGCTGGACAATACAACCATGTGGGATGGGCCCAGACCAATTAAACTCAGAGTGGGGGTTGGGCGTGGGGGCTCAGAAGGAAGGGGGAGGAAGCCCAGAATCAGCATTCCTCATCTCCACAAGTGACTCGGACATGCCGCCAAGTTGTATGCCACTGATGCATTCCTTTCAGAGAGCAGTCGCTTGAGAGTATCTAGACAGTTTCTTCTAAACTTCATCAGAAAATGGGATTTTTCAGGAAAAGGCACCATCGTGCTTCCTCTAAGGATCCAGCCTGCTGCTCAGGAGACATAAGCTTGTGGCAGTTATCTGGAGCGCTGGTTGTAAAGAAGGAAATCCTTGTCTTGGCACAGCAGGCAAAGTTTCAGGCTTCGGCAGCTGCCTCCAGCAACAAAAAAGGCCCAGACGCCCATAAGCACCAATATTATATATGCTGACAGCAGATTTATTCCATAATGAGGACTTAGGAAAGTCTGGAAAGGAAAAATAGATCAGCATGGGTAATAACACTATGTTTTTTGATCATGGGGGATATCCAGAGAGAAAAAGAAAACGAGGAACACTTTCACTAGCTGGGGGCTGTTTCACCACACAGATGATGCAGGTTGTGTGTGAAAGACCCTGACAGGCACACATGGCTGATGCTGTCACCTGCCTGTAAGCCCATGACTTGTATTCACACAGCTACTCAGGAAGGCAGTCAATGCTCAGAACCTCACAGAATACCCAAGAGAAGATAATTGCATAGCCCTGGCCCTGGTTTATAGGCATTTCCATGTTGTCTGTTAGACTTCAAAAAGGAGAGATAAATCCAAATTACTTTAGCATGGAGTTTTAATATTTAAGAGAACATTGTCTCTTTTTCATCTACACAATTTCTTTGGGTTCTAAAAGACTATTTATTTAAAAAAAATAGATGGAATGCTGAGAGATATTACATTGCATAAGAGCGAAAACAGGTTTCTACCCCAAAGTAAAGGAAGGCCAAGTACTGTGGTATAGTGGGTAAAGTTGTCACTTCCAGTGTCAGCATCCCACATGGGTACCAGTTCAAGTCCCAGCTGCTCCATATCCAATCCAATTTTCTGTTAATGTGCCTTGGGAAGCAGTGGAGGAATGTCCAAGAACTTGGGCCCCAGCAACCACCTGGAAGAAGCTCCTAAATGCTACCTTTGGACTGGCCCACTCGGCCACTATGGCTCTCTGGGAAGTGAATCAGTGGAAGGAAGGACGCATTGTGTGTGTGTGTGTGTGTGTGTGTGTGTGTGTGTGTGTGCGCGCGTGCTCATCTCTCTGTTACTCTTTCAAATAAATAAATAAATCTTTTTTTAAAAAAAAGCAAAAATATGGCCTGGCATGAAAGCCTAGTGGCTGATGTCACTGCCTTGCATGCATCAGGATCCCATGGATGCCAGTTCTAATCCCAGCTGCTCCACACTTCCCATCCAGCTCTCTGCTTGAGGCCTGGGAAGGCAGTAGAGGACAGGCCAAAGCCTTGGGACCCTGCACCCACATGGGAAACCCAGAAGAAGCTCCTGGATCCTAGCTTCAGCTCAGCTCAGCTCAGCTCTGGCTTTTGAGGCTGCTTTGGAGATGAACACGTGGATTCAAAGATCTTTCTGTCTCTCCTTCTCTCTGTAAATCTTTCTAATAAAAATAAATAAATCGGGCCCGGTGCGATGGTGCAGTGGTTAAGGTCCTCGCCCTGCACGCCTGGGATCCCATATGGGTGCCGGTTCTAATCCCGGTGGCCCCACTTCCCATCCAGCTCCCTGCCCGTGGCCCAGGAAAGCAGTCGAGGACGGCCCAAGGCTTTGGGACCCTGCACCCATGTGGGAGACCCGGAAGAGGCTCCTGGCTTCGGATCAGCATAGCATCGGCCATTGTGGTCACTTGGGGAGTGAATCATCGGACAGAAGATCTTCCTCTCTGTCTCTCCTCTCTGTATATCTGCCTTTCCAATAAAAATAAAGCAAATCTTAAAAAAAAAATAAAATAAAAAATAAATCATTTTTTTAAAGCAAAAATAAGTAAGCTAGGCAGGAAATGAAGGAAAATACAAATTAATTAGAAACTGGGATGAGTACAAGGACAGAATAATAATTGTGATGAGCCTAGGAAAGGTAAAAACAAGGGGATCCACCTGGAGTGCCAAGAAGACCCTCAGTAGCATTTTGCCTGACATATACAGGAGGAAGAGCAAGCCAATCACGTGTAGGCTGGGGGGAGGAGCCAAAGGAATCCAAGAGTGTGGTGCAGCTGTGAAGGTGAGATAAGCCAGTATTAATGATGTTTAGGGATTAAAGGGCAGTATATAAAAAGAAACTAGAGAAGAAGGCAGAGGTCAACAAGACAAAATGTGGATAAGGTGTTCACTTCATACTCAAGTGTGCTGCAGGGTCATAGAAGGATATTAGGCAAGGGATCTGAGCGATTTGATTCAGATTTTTTTTTTTAACTGCAGAGAATGGATTCAAGGAGGCTATGAAAAAAGCAATGAGACTACTTTGGAAGACACTGTACTGGAAAGAGAGGGTACAAGGTGGTCACTTAGACTAGCATGCTGTTAGTGGAGATGGACAGCGGGCAATACAAAGTGAAGGACTGGCTGATGGAGTCAATGTGACGGCAAGAGAGGAATCAGGAAAGAATCCTGTGACTCTGGATTTAGGCAAACGGTGGCAACATCTAATGAGATGATGAAGACAAGAAGGTGAAACGTGAAAGACTTGGAGCAAGACCACATTCAAAAGGATGACTGAGGATTAAGGCTGAAAGGACATGTTACCAGTAACCTGCTCATGAGATTTCTCAAAGGGCAGATGTCAAGTCAGTCACTGGATCTACGTGTATGGAGCGAAGAGGCCTGGGCTAGAAAAGGAATGCAGAAGTGTGGCCTATAGGCAGAACTGAAAGCCATGGCCATGCCTATGGAGCTACTGTACAGAGGAGGGACAAGTCTAGATCAAGCCTTGAGAAACACTAACATTTACGAATTCCTGGGAAGAAGAAAAAAGCCAGTAAAGGTTTCTGCAAAGCAGCAGTGAGGGAAGACAAAACCAGGACAATCTGGTGCAGCGGAAGTCAAAAGAGGAAAATGCCTCCACTCTTTTTAAAGATCACTTCAATGTGGAAAAGCGGAGGTACTTTCTGACCTTGTCAGGCACAGTTCCAGAAAGTTGGCTGAGCAGAAAGAAGCCAGACTGGGCTAAAAGAACTGCAGAAGACTACTCTCTGAGGAGGCAGGAAGGAAAAAGGAACAACAGGAAAATGTTTTACCTGAGGTTTGTTTATCTGTGTGTCCATGAAGTGAGGGAAAGGTTGATGACACGGGACAGAACGTGTACTTAAGCAGGAGACAGCAGAATGGGGCCCAAAATCCAAGCAGAGCGACACTAGGAAGAAGGATATTTTCTTCTTTCTTCTTTTTCAAAGATTTAATTTTACTGGAAAGTCAGATTTACAGAGAGAAGGGGAGGCAGAAACATCTGTCTGCTGATTCACTCCTCAAGTGACTGCAATAGCCACAGTTGTCGATACAAAGCCAGGAGCTTCCTCTGGGTCTCCCACATGAGTAGAGGGTCCCAAGGCTTTGGATCATCTTCTGCTGCTTTCCCAGGCCACAAGCAGGGAGCTGCATGGGAAATAGGGCAGCTAGGATACTGAATCAGCAACCCTATGGGATCCCGGTGCACTAGGCTACCATGCCAGGCCCAGGAGGAAGGATATTTCTTCCAAGGAATCAAGGTAAGATATTGAGATGGGTTCCCACCCAGCTCCTGCATTTCCACTCTACAATGGACAGGATTTGATGGGGTCAGTTTGCTACCACCTTCTTTGCCTCTCAGCAGTCTCCATGACATATCCGTGATCTCACCCTCTCACACGCACAGAGATCCTGGCTAAGGCATTGATCCTGACCTATCAGCTCTGTCCTGAAAAATGGGCAGCCCATGCAGGTGGCACCTCATGCAGAAAGAGGGCCTCTCTCAAGAAACATCATCTATGGACAGGGCAGGCATTGAACATTTTGTGGGTTTTTTCTTCAGAATAATTTGACACCTCAAAATCCATTGAATTTTAATTTATTTTACATACAACTAAGTATTCTGTATTTGTATTTATTTACAAATTTTTAAAATAATTACAGAAGCAATACATGATGACTAGAGAAGATCAGAATATACAAATGAAGAAAATAAATTTTAGAATTTGAAGTTCAGGTAATTACTTATTAAACAAAGCAAAAAGTAAAATCAAAGAAAAATGGAGTGACTATATTAAACTGAAAAAATGTGTTCATCAAAAGACATTTAAGAATGTAAAAACAAATGACACCACAAAAGTTATTTGAGGAGCACACACTTGACAAAGAATTCCTTTATGGAAAATATAGAGTTCCCTAAGACCAAAAATAAAAAGACCAGGCAACAGATGGGCAAAAGAGCTGAATGGGTACTTCACAAAAAAATTACCCATATGGCCAATAAACACAGGAAGACTTGCCTAACTTCATTAATCATCAGGGAAACAGTATTTAAAACTTCAATTTGGTACTACAACAGAAATGGCAGTTTGGTTAACAACTAAGAAAGCCAGCCCAAGTGCTGATGAGGAGGGAAATAGTGCGACTCACACATTTAGAGTGGGTTTCAATTTCTGAAAAACTGAGTGGTACAAATGGCTGATACACATATACTACCATGCCACGGCAACTGCACTCCTAAACACATGCCCAAAAGAAACGTGTGTATGTTCACCACACACATACACTGGGATACTTGTCACAATAATATACACAATAGTTACAACACGATAAATGCCACAATACTGTAGAATGGATCAACTATGGTATAAGCTGTACCATACAGCAAGAAATGAGCAATCTGTAATTGTGAGAGGTTAACTCTCACAAGCATGTTGAGCTAAAGGAACCTGAAATAAGAATAAATATTATATGGCTGCATTTTCATTTCATACCCAGAAACAAAGCCAGCCTGTGGTTGTGGAAGTCAGAATCATTCCCACCCTTAGTGGAAGAAGTGCCCAGAGATATAAGGAAGCTCCAGGGAGCTGGCAATGCTTTGATTCTCATCTAGGTAACCTACTACATAGCTATCTCCACACTGGGAAAACACTGCACTGTATGCCCATGATTCGTGTACTTTTCTGTATGTGTGTTAAATTAGAATGGTTAGTTACACAACAATTCTCTAAAATCTGCCACTGAGACACAACTACTATTATTATTTTGGTGTATAATCTTTAAACATTCTAGGTTCTTTTTTGATCATTCAAGAGAAGAACTTTGACCATTTAATATCCAACATTTATTGGCCAGTTATTTTGCGCAGAAAATTGAGCACACAAAGACTGACATGTGACATCCTTGGTGATCAAATTCTAGTTTAAGAGAGATATAAAAACTATATTGAATAAAGTAGTGCTAGCCAAGAGTAAGTGTTATAACAGCTATGAAATAGTTCAGTGATTCCTGCTGAATATAAAATATGCAACTTCTCCAGGCTCACTGAGAAAGAATAACTTTTCAAACCAACCCAGAATAGGGGGAAGCCAAATCACACAAGCAGCACAGGAAAAAAGGGGTGCCTGTTGAGAAGCCACATTGAACCACTTTAGATAGAAGGAATGATGTGAACTATGATGAGCCACAGGAGCTAAGTTTTGCAGTAGGAATACTGGTAAGAGTTTATGTCAAGCAGAAGCAGCATGTTCAGAGGCGTCTGCTATGGCTGACTGCTTTTCTTCACAGATTTGGTTTCCAAGGACACCTGCTCCCCAGGATTTCCTGGATTTCCTCCTGCCTCACTGTTACTCTTGCCCAGTTTCAATGTTGAAGCATTCTGGAGCTCAATCTCACCTTGCGTACACCTATCCCTGATTTCTCTCCCTAATACCAGGCACTTTTGTCCAGCTGCTTATCTGACACATCTCCTTGTGAATATCCAACAAGGATGTGTCCAAAACAAGAACTCCTCCCCTCCCTGCCCAAGCCTCTCCATCGCATCTGAGAGAAGCCAACTCCATCCTTTCAGATGTCCAGCCCAAATCCTTGAGGTAACCTCAATTCCCCTTCTTTTACACACCTCATCTAATCTGTCAAGAAATGCAGTTGGATCCACTTCCAAAAAAATGTCCTAAAATCTGACAATTTCTCATCGTCTCATTCAAGTCCTCATAGTCCTTGATTACTGGCTGTGATCTCCCTGCCCCATGACAATCTATTCTCAACGCAGCAAAGAGGGTCTTCTGAGATGCAAGTGCATGTCTCCCTCTTCATCACTCTATAATGATCCATTTCACTGAGAGGAAAAGTCAATGCCAATACCACTAGGTGTGAATCTCACGTCCAACCTCATACTTCCCTCCTACCATTGCCTCTCGGGCAGTATCTCTTCCCAATCTCCCTCTCACTCTCTCTGGCTTACCATTGCCTCCTCAGATGTGGAATCTATGCTAGTCTTAAAACCATGGCCCTAGCTCTTCAGTGGAGGATACTGTTTCTCTAGAGAGCTGCATGACCAACTCCTTCATTTCTATTTCACCTCTTCACCACCTTCACAAGGAACCCTATCTGGACCACCTAATTAAGAAATGGGACGTTCTCCCTCTACATACACTCTGGAGATCTTTTCACCCTGCTTTTCTTTCTTTCTTTCTTTCTTTTAATAGTACCAATAACCTAACACAATATAAAATTTCTTATTTATTATAGTTGCTGTTTACCATCTATTGTCCATCCCTCCCCTATTCAACGATAAAGGCAGGGATCACAGAATGCACTCAGTGTAATATTTGTCAAATGCATGAATGGCAATAAGATTTTTCAGAAGGATATTTGCTTAAAAAAAAGGATATCTGCTTTATCATGAAACTTTCTTTCAGGTTATAAAGACATTGAGTTGCAGAAAATTTAAAATATGAAACTGTATATAATTAGAGAATCCACAATCACAATTCCAAGAGATAACTTCTGTTAGTATTTTAATTCTCTTTTGTCATCTTTCTTCCCATAAAACTTGGTTTTATATCAGTGCGAACATGTTCCAGGTAACCTTAGTATTCCACACACTGAAAGGTTTTGGTTGGGGGTATTTAGGGCAATAAGGCTACCTTTAGATAGGTCAGAGGATGAGGGGTTAAGTCTAAGAAACCTGACGTCATCTCCAGATGGACAGAGATGAAAGAGCTGCAGGGCACGATGCCACCAGGAGAAACCTTTCCAACAGTTCAGGGAAGAGGTGACAGGACCTGGTTTTTTCTGTCATAAATTTAAAGGCCCTTCAAAAAGTCTATGGAAAATGGAATTTAAAAAGACAAACTTACTTTGGTGCAAAAAAAAAAATTCATGAAATTCATGAGTATTCTTGAAAAACAGATTTTCCATGAACTTTTTGAAAACCCTTCATTTATAATAAATTACAATAAAAAATCAAACCCAAAGCATCTAACAGTTCTTCAAAAAATATATCTTGTCAAGTTTTTTAAGCTGTATTTTGAAAACTGGCAAGGTTATGTCAGTGAGGAGAGTGTGAACTGAACTGATCAGTATTACTGATCAAAGAAATAAGGACAGTGCATACAGTGTGTAAAAAAACAGTAAGGAAATCTGGCTTCATAATTTTGAAGTCAAAACAACACAAGGAAAGTTTCACAAACACTGGTGTTGAAGACACCATTACAATAACCAAAGAAACAGAAGTAATGAGCCAGTTACACAGGTTATAATTTTCATCTGATGATTTAAAACTACTACAATTTGTATCTTAAAGGATTTGAAGTAAGATGAAGATTGTTTCAGATGCACTCCCTAGCACATAATGCCAGAAGGTTTCAGCTTTAACACACATTAAAGACAAGACACAGGAAATTCTTTAATGAGACGCACCCAAAAATTACATGGCTGTCATCCTGTGGTAAGGTTCAGGTGATCCAGTCATGTAAAGAAGTTTTCTAAATTGTACCATGTGTGCTTATTTCGTTTAGAACAGGATCTACCATTTCAGATATAAAGACTTGCTTGTCAAGAAACTAGTAGTACAGTGACAACACTCACCTGAGCTGACACCAGCAGATGAGTCAGGAAAATGATCAGAATGACGTACCACTTTTTCTTCTCACATCCATCAAAAAATACAATGCCCCAGAACACATGCAGCAGCACGATGACCAGCGTCATGAAAGCTGAAAGGCAGTCAACAGGAGTGCCTGGTCAGACGACAGACAGCAAAGCCCACCGAGTGTCCAGGGCTGCAGGGAGTTTGACCAACATCCCACAGAAGCAGAGCCTGACACACTTACTCTAAAGGCAGCTCAGAACACAACAATTCTGCATAAAGGAACGTTTCTGCAGCAATTTCCTTTCTAGAGTGCAAACTCATTAAGTAAAAATTCACCAGCATCTTTCTCAATTTGCCTTCTATACTACTTGCAAGAGGCTTTTCTTAATTAAAAAGAACATCTTCTGCTTACACAAATTTCTTCAGTAAAATTGAATTTCTCCATAGATCCTTTTTTAAAAAAAAGGCCAACAGAAGGCTAAAACATTAAAATTTGAAAAAATTTTCTGATATTCTCCATAAGGAATGAGCACTGAATCATATCATCACTCCCTGGTTTTCTTGGTGGTGGTGGTGTGTGTCCTGCATCCTGGACAACATTCTTTATTAAATGCAATATATTTTGCAAGTCTTAACATGAGAAAAGAAAGGCATACAGACTTCCCAATTAGGACACCTAAGAAGAGACTACTAATATCACCAGACTGGCAAAACTTCAAGTCTGACAATTTTCTTTTACACACCTAGACAGAACACAATCTGGCATTACTAACTCAAGGGGAAATTTTGCATTGTTCACTTTATTCCAGCAATTCCACCACTATATCTGTATGCTAAACAGTGAGTTCAAAAGTCAATAGGTAGGGTGTGGCACGGTGGCCTAGCGCTAAAGTCCTTGCCTTGAATGCCCGGGATCCCATTTGGGCACCGGTTCTAACCCCGGCTGCCCCACTTCCCATCTAGCTCCCTGCTGTGGCCTCGGAAGGCAGTCGAGGATGGCCCAAATCTTGGGACCCTGCACCCACATGGGAGACCCGGAGGAGGTTTCCTGGCTCCTGGCTTTGGATCGGCAACACTGGCTGTTGTGGTAATTTCGGATGGAAGATCTTCCTCTCTGTATATCTGACTTTGTAATCAAAATAAATAAATCTTTAAAAAAAAGTCAATAGGTCACTGGTATCAGGGAACCTGTTAGAAATGAAAAATTGTTGTCCTGTGCTCCTGAATAGGGAACAATGGCAACAGGAACACAGCGAAACAGCCTTTCCAATTACTCTGCATTGGTCAAATTTCAGAACCACTACACTAGAGTATTCCTTACAAGTGTGGTAAGATGATACACACAGAATGTATCAGCATTCATGTTATAATACAAAAAATGCTTCTCATCAGACAAATGGATAAGTGGATCACAGTGTTTTCACATTATAAAATGCTGTGTGATCAAGTGAAGAAAGAAAAACAGACTGGACTGTGGGGGTGGACACTTGTGCCACAGTTATGACACCATTTGGGTCATTTGCATACCACAGCAGAGGACCTGGCTTCAAGTGTCTGCTCTACCCTAATGTGCAGGCATTCCCAAGAGGCAGCAGGCAATGGTTCAAGTAGCTAGGTCCCTGCCACTCATCTGGCAGACCCATAGGGAGTTCCTGGTTCCCACCTGTGGCCTAGCCCAACCCAGCTCTTACAGGTATACAGGGAGAGAACTAGCAAATGCGAGATCTCTCTTAGACCTCTGCCTTTTAAATAAATACACTAATTTTATAGGAAGTCAAAAACATACATAGTAGTATTTAAAAGATACAATTCTTTTTTTAAAAAAAGATTTATTTTATTTTTATTACAAAGTCAGATATACAGAGAGGAGGAGATAGAGAGGAAGTGGAGCTGCTGGGATTAGAACCGGCAACCATATGGGATCCTGGTACATTCAAGGCGAGGCCCTTAGCCACTAGGCCACGCCACCAGGCCCATAAAAGATACAATTCTTGTGGTAAGCAAGAATTGGAGGAAAGCAAGCTGTTATGCCTGGTATAATGGTATCATTTCAATAAATGATGGCAAATGTTTTAGCTAAAACAAAAGCAGAGAGGTAGTTTTCAAAGCACTGAAGTGACTGATGGCAGACAAACTAAAACAGGGTGTGATGATCTTGGAGAGGGAGGCTACCCTGGAGATGGGTGCCTGCTGAAAATGCCCAGATGGTAGCTTTTAAAGGCTCTCTATGTCAGAAAGGACCACAGCAGCAACTGGCACAAATGCAAACACTTCTTAAATCAAAACGTGTTTCTTCTCTTAAGGGTTTTATAAAATCTAGGTTGTAATCAAACATCAAGAGAAAATGATAGTAGTGTGTCATCTGTCCAGCCCTTCTCTAGGCATTATTCTGATTGCCGAGACCTTTCCGTTGTACTACTGATCAAATCTTACACTTCTGTTACTCAGAAAAATGCCTTTCCTTATAGGATTTTCAATTTATATCTGTCCAAAAAAAAACACACCGTTCTGAGAGCTGCCATCATACAGCCGAAAGACCATTAGCCCTGACTTTTCTTCCAATTTCTATGACTGCATTTCCTAGCCTCTTCTGCCTCCAAAGTCAAGTCCAAATATCAGAAACTAGCATCAAGGCACTCTATAGTTCACACTCAAATTACCCTGAAAACATTGCCTCTATTCATCTTTAAAAGCATTTTACAATAGAAAACCAAATTCTTCTTCACTGTCTCTGTTTCTCTCTCTTTCCTTCTTTCCCTTCCACCCTTTTTCTAACATAACCCTTTTTTCCTCATTTTACCATTCTTCTCCCCATGTCACAGCATCCAAAGCTTTTACATTTAAAATGCAACTCAAATGTCCCCTTCTCAGTGAATTTTTTTCCTGAAAGCTAAATTCTTCATTAAAAACAACAATAATTGGGCCTGGCACAATAGCCTAGTGGCTTGAACACGCTGGGATCCCATATGGGCGCCAGTTCTAATCTCGGAAGCTCCACTTCCCATCCAGCTCCTGGCTTGTGGCCTGGGAAGGCAGCCGAGGACAGCCCAAAGCCTTGGGACCCTGCACCCGCGTGGGAGACCTGGAGGAAGTTTCTGGCTCCTGGCTTTGGATCAGCACAGCACTGGCCATTGCAGTCACTTGGGGAGTGAATCATCAAATAGAAGATCTTCCTCTCTCTCTCTTCCTCTCTGTATATCTGACTTTGCAATAAAAATAAATATTTTTTAAAAGCTTTGAAAACAACAATAATCATTATATACTTGTTAAGTATCTGGGAAGTCTGGTCTGAAGATTATGAGTAACATCTTTGAAGCCAGACAATCCTGAGTTGGATTCCCAGCTCCACTATACAGCACTGGGCAAGCCATTTAAACTAAACTTCTATTGCCTTTATTTATCAAATAAGGATAATACTTCACACAGTTGTTGCAAAGAGTAATGCATATAAGCTGCAGCTTTTTGAAAAATCACAGACATTTTAAAAATGTTTATTTATGTACGTATTTGAAAATAACAGTTCCTGAGAGAAAGGCAGAAACGGAAAGATGTCCCATCAGCTAGTTCACTCTCCAGAAAGCCACAACGGCCAGAGCTGGGCCAGACCAGAGCCAGGCGCCAGGAGCTTCATTCAGGTCTCTCACAAGGACTGTAAGGGTCCCAACGCTTGGGTCACCTTCCACTGCTTTTCCCAGCCAATAGTGGGGAGCTGGACCAGAAGTGAAGCAGCCAGGACATGTGTTACGGTCTACAGATTCAAAGGTGAATAAGCCAGGGTTTTTAGTGAGTTACTCTATTAAAAAAAATATATAAATAAAACTCTTTTAAACCAAATTCTCTTGGTGGAGAGCATTTCAGTCTAATGTGTTTCTAAGTAAAGTAAAAGAAAATATTTTCCACTTGGCTATGAATACACCTTAAGTACTCTAGCGCATAGATCTAAGCACCCTCATTTCACACTTGTCTCTCTTTTCATCATTCCTGACACCTACTTTTCCATCCTTGTAAAACGGTCTAAGATAGCAACTGATGTTCATCCTGGATCCTGGAGAACATGGAAATTGCTGCTCTCCAGGTTCCCTGGACAACATTGGTGTGTCTGCAGTTGGTAGTTAGAGACAGCCAAGAACTGCTGCCAGGTGGTGGCAGCCATGGCCAAGCCTTCTCAAAGCCTATAGTCAGTCTCAATTACACCCAGGCAGGACATGAACACCAAGGAGTTTCTAGATCATTTTTCCAGGTGACAGAAAGGAGCACGCTTTCAGGATTGTGTGAAGAGGAAGACTTTCCATCTCTGGTTGAATAAACACTCAATATTCTTGAGAGATTCCAAATGACATAACATGAGTAGAAGTCAGGCCCCAGAACTAATCAAACGTTTTTGAAAATGACTCTCCTTAATGGGAACTTAACTTAAAAAAAATTTTTTTTTAAATTGTAAGGGAATTCTGTGACCTCATTTATTATTACATATAAAAATCAAATAAGGCTTTCCAAAATTAAAAAAAATACATTTCAAATCCAACTCAAATTTTACATGGCTATATGAAAGGTACATTATTGTCCCTTAATACTAATAAGATCATACAGAACATGTCCCAAACGCAACTTAAATGACTGCAGGTGTTTAAATTGCACTTATCATTTTATACACATGAAAACACTACCAAAGCATGTTTACAAGCTGAATGGACTGCAAGGGATAGGAGTTAATGTTTAAAGTTCCCCCAGCAAACATTGAGGAATAATGAAACATTCTCCTCAAATCAGCTCATCATTTAGAGATTCAGCTCTGGGAGCCACATTAGAATTTATCTCATCCAATTCCCCCACATGATGAAAACAATCTCACAGGATCCACTTCAAATACATGCATTTTAGGAGCTTATTTGATTACATAGCCACTGTGGAAGTCTTTTAAACCCAAACCAAGTCTGCCTTGCTCTATCTCATTGACTCTCAGTTGGGATAATTTTGCCCTATTTGCAGACATATTTGGTTATCACACCTGAAGAACCTGGGGGAGAATAGTTTTCTGGCATCCAGTGGATAGAAAGAAGCCAAAAAGGCCATTAAATACCCTATAAAATGTAAGACAGCTCCCAGTATCTCCACCCCCAAAAG